CCCCAAAACCCCAAAACCCCAAAACCCCAAAACCCCGGATGAGGGATAAATTTTTGAATTTTAAAATAACTTAATAGCATCTGTTTAAATTAATGATCAATATTCACATCTTTTATTTTCTTTATTTTGTTCCAGAATGATTTGTTCACCATGAAGGCCCCGTTGTTGAAAGTGTTGTTGATAGTGGTCTTCAGACTGTTTTTGGCATTACTTGTCGGAGTTGTGTTGGATGTGAACAGGTTACTACCCTTCATTCTACTTCTTTTGTTAAATTTTGATATCATTTTCTTCCCAGTGGAGATTGCTGAGGTTAGATCATGGGGGAGGGTCTCTAGTTTTTGCTTCCTACCCTTTCCTGGTTTATGTATCACTGTGGTGTTTCCTCATGTTTTACGCCCCATAGTGAGCTTATCGACAAGTTGATGATTTCGAGTAGTTTTAACAATTTTTCCTGACTTCTTTTGATGTCCCTTGTCTACAGCAGCATTGAACTTCTTGGCCTGAGAGTATAGTTCAATCAAATTGGCCTCAGAAGCATTTGTCAGATTAATATTAGACTCATTGAAATTTAAGAAAGGAGTTTTAGCGTTCACGTCTAGGTTTCTATTCTGAAGTATTAAAGCATACTTTTGGTTAACAGGTTGGTACCTTTTATCGCTAAAGCTAGCTACTTTAGACCTAGATTCGCTCCTTCATTTTCTATCACAGCTCTTGGAGATCCTGTTGCTACTTTTATCTCCATTGTTGGCATTCAATCTCTTTGCTTGTTTACTATGAGATTTCTTCACTTTGCCATGAGCAGTATGATGATTGAATCTACTTGAGTTCACTCAGTCATTGGTGATGCTCCTATCAATAAATCCTGGAGCCGAGGAGGCTATTGCCAAGGTTGTGCCAGGTTTATTGTTCCGATTCTGGCTAGTTGGAGCTGGAGTACCTCCTCTTGAACTCTTATTTCCTTTAAACTTATTTAGGCTTATCTCTATCTGTGAACTTTGGTACTCTTTCCTTTTTGTAATTCTCAAATACAGTATTTGGCCTTTCTGCGAATGGGTGAGCTATATAGTGATTAATCACTGAATCTCTGTGAACTTACCTTGTTTACGATTTCCTTTGGAAGTTTTGGGTCTTTGGTAGCCTCTTTCTTTGGAGCCATGCTTTTTCTTGCTCTTTGATCTCTCATTCGAATTGCTTTTGTTTGGTTTCCTTCTATTGCCCTGGGCACTTCTGATGCCTGATGACATGTTATGGAGACTATTGATTGAACTCTCTTCGGTTTTAGTTCTCATGATGGGGTCTCCCTTTTTCATATTTTTAGCTATCAAGTTTGGAGATATAGATTTAGGCGAAGGGGAATTCATTGAATCGTTCTTTTGGTCTTTCTGGTCCATTGTCTGGGACTGTCCCTGGGTGACCTTGTTCTTGAAAGCATTGAAAGCCTTTATACTATCTTTACTATCCTTGTTATTAGCACTAGTTTTGTCAAGACTTTTGATAATTTTTAACTGGTTTATTTGGTCCTCAGTTACTATTTTCATCAGTTCATTTTGGTCTCCCTTTTGCCCTTCTGGTTTTTCTTGTAAGCTTTGGGAAAGAATCTCTCAGGTTTCCGTAGTTTTATTCAGTTTCCTCTCTTTTGGGATTTCGAAAGGGATATCAACTTTTTCTGCAGAGATTTTAGAGTCTTTTAGGCAGTCACTGATGTTCATTTCTGACCTTTCGGGCTCTTTTTGCCTCTCAGGATCATAGTATTTGTTGAAGGATAGATCTAGAGGTGCTAACTTCACCGATGGCTTTGGAATGTCCTTGATTCAAGGTGCGAGTTTGTTGTAAGTGATCCCATCGTTTGGCCGAATAATCTTCACTTCTGATTGGACTTCTTGATCTTCAGGTATTTGCTCATATGAAGGCGAATGATGTTTTTGGTATGAGGATACGATATGTTTTACCAACGGAGCATCTCCAGGGAGGAATTTAATAGCTAATTGAAGTGCTTTTCCATGCCAAAATTCTGAGTCTATGCTATCTTCAAATCCTTCTACCATCATTTGTTTTAAAAATCTGAGCTCTGTGCCCATTCAAAAGTAGGCTGTGATCAGAAGCATGACTCTCTCCATCAGATTTTCTCTTGTAAGTACTAAATCTGGGTTTCTTATGCCGTAGACTTCTCTAAAGTCTAGTCTCTTTAGTTTCATAATGTTAGTAATATTAAGGTAATCATGGTAGAGATTTTGGTTGAGGAAGCCAAGCATGTTTCGCATGTCAACCTTGGCACCCTGTTGTTCGTTGAGTACTTCAGCAGTATCTGGGTCTTTCTCTTCTTCCTTATCAGCTTCGTCATCAGTATCTTCTCCTTCTTTGACAAGATAGCCTACCAGTTGTCTGAAAATAGGAACTATTTTTAAAAAATTTCTCTGAAGAATTGACATGTGATGCTGCACTCTTGCTGTCTTGTTTAGCTGAGAGATGTTGGCAGATGAGTCAAGGGAAGAACTATTTTGGTCCTCAACGCCACTTATATTGTTATTTGATTCGTTGATTTTATTTTCAGTTGACCCTTCTCCGTATTTTGAAGGAGCCTCGTTTTGGGTAGAGACTTTGCTATCCCCATTAAGAGTCTTCTTTCTGTTGAATTTTGGATTATCACGAATGTCTTTCTCCTTTTGACCCATTGATTCAGCATAGTTAAGGATGTCTTTGACAAGGAAATGAGAAATCCTAACAGAAATCTGAGCATGGTATAGTGCCTCCCTGTGGCGATGAAGTTGGGAAAACAGCGCTCAGAGTTGCATTCTAAGCAATCCTTCCAAATAAATCGTATGATTTTTAATTGCTGGAGTTTGAAATTCAGGCATCAGAGATAATATTTCTAAATTTAAGACTGCTGTTTCTAAAAAGACTGAGGACTCTTCTAAGGAGCCCATCATTTGGTGTCAAAGGGCTGTATTATGGTATATTATCACAATGATAAGCCTGTCTTTTTTGTAGCTTTCCAGGCTCATTTGCTCGATAAGAACCTGAGCTTTTTGTAATAAGATCAGTGCTCTCTCCCATTCTTCTCTGTCCATATAAAGCAGAGAGTTTTCATGAAGCTCAAATAAGACTACAGGAACTTCATTCATTTCGAGATCGACTTCTTTATTAAAAGTCATCTCAAATGTTTCATCTGAGGAGGGGTTATGGAGTTTAACTCCTAAGTCTTTTTCATCCATTTCTTCAAAACTAAATCAATTTTTTTAAGATGTAATGGGGTTTTGGGGTTTTGGGGTTTTGGGGTTTTGGGG